GTAGGCTCTAAATTCTGCGCTTTTTCAGTCAAGTGGTCAAAATCAAATCTAATTAAGTCGCGCACGCAAGCACCTTGCCAAACTGACCTCTGGCCTGGCACGCAAGCATTTCCTTCGCATATGTTTACTCTTCAGCCTCTTCTACATTTTTGTCTAAATCATTGGCGCTTTCTTGTATTTGCGTCCTTAATTGATTCATTTAATTAATTCAAAGATTTGGTTTCGTTGGTTATAAAAACTTTTGGCAAAGTGCTTAATGGAAAACCAGCTAGAGCATATTTAAATTAAGGTACAACAAATCAATATATATATATATATATATATATATATATATATATATATATATATATATATATATATATATATATATATATATATATATATATATATATATATATATTCATTACGCTCTGCGCATGCCTGGATGCGTTGAGTCACTGTGTTGTACCACATGCCTTGGTGAGAGCAAGTTCATGGGGTATAAATACGAGTGTCTCACGTATCGAGACGTGTACCAAGCTGCACTGACGAGGCGTTGAACGCCGTGTCTATGTATGTATATATATATATATATATATATATATATATATATATATATATATATATATATATATATATATATATATATATATATATATATTATATATATTTATTTAGTATAAATTTTGCATATCAAATGAGCTTTCGCGCGTTCTGATTGGCGCTAGTTGACTAGTAAATCTGAGGCATTATTTACCACCTGGGTAGTAAATAATGCTTTTCAAAAAGAATGATTCGGCAAATTTGGTTTCAAAATCGACAAAATATTGAAAAAATCGTCCCAGAAAAAGAAAAAAAAGCACAAAATGTTGTATTTAACTTGAAAGGTAGGATTTAGTATTATATTACTGTGTCAAACATATTCACGGACAATTTAAAACTTATTTAAAACTCCGAAACATTCGCTTCAAACGTAAATCTGAAATAGCAAAAAATATCCCGTCTTTTGGGAAAAGCCGTGATATTCTTTTTAAAACAATTTTGTTTTGTATCCTATAAATATCTCAATTTGTACGATACTATTTCTTTTGACTATGTCGTGTTTTCATTGTGCTGTATGGTGTCCTTTCGCTGTATTGTACTATTTGTGTTTTAAAACTTGTAAAGTGAAAAGTGTATTAAAACTTTTATATTAATTCGAACGATATAGTTTTACATTTCATTTTACCAAATTTCTCAGCCATTTCCTGAACAAATTAATGCTAAACAGAAACTATTTTTTAATTCTAAGTCTGGTAAAAAGTCATTCCATCATTGTGTTTATATTCTAAGCAGAAATCGAGAAAAATAACTTTGTAATAAAGCAATAAAGTCGCACAGGAAGCCATTTTGAAAGCGTGCGTGTACAAGAAACACTGCAACACTAAACCGTAAACCGGTCGAAAACAGTTTTATTTCTGAATTTTAATTAAACTTATAGTTGGATAACTTGGATATTTTGTTTTATACAAAGACTGGACAGCATTGCCTTTATACACAAACATGACAACATTATCCTTTAACAAAGCACTACTATACACACAAAATGACCTACTTAACAAAACAGAAAATGCAAATAAAGCAACTAACAGACCAATCTTCGCAACTCAATACAACAGTAATACTAAGTAAATGCATTGCACAATGGCCAACCACACAAGCCCGCCGTACATTACAGCTATTAACACACATCCGATCCCTAAACAATAAAACAAACACTCAAGTACAGTACGTTATCTCAGTTCACCCCCCCCCCCCCCCCCCTCTCACGGCTCAACCATTTTTTACCCCAAGTCTCAAAAAAATATCTCAAAACACCATTGCACATCAACACTTAAAACAACACTCTCAACATAAAATAACAAGTTCACAAACACTATTATTACATGAAGTAAGCAGATACAACCCATGGCCAGTATATACACAATTTCCAAAATGATCCTTCAACACCCCTACAATCCATACAACAACCTAAACGCCCATATATACTGTACATCTTACTCACTCACTGCATATGACCAAACACGCAATTTATACAGCTGCATTGTGACGTGAAGCCAGTCACGTCATAAACATTCTTAATTTAAGACATTGCGTAATTATGCTAACTCATGTTTTGCTATATTTATCTTACATGTAATTATCTAAAAATAGTATGACGTAATGTTTTATTAATATCTATCGGACAGTATATAAGCAGCGAAAGCTTAAGATAGTGGAAAATAAAAAGTTTAGAGATAATTGTTGTTGTTGTTAAAGAAGAAGAGTTTGATATTGTGAAGTTATTGTCGTCGTGAAAACTTAAAGGAAAGGAACTATATTATAAAGTGTGAAAGGACAAAGTCTGAAAAGCAAAGCTGTGTCATTGTCATTAGACAGATAAGTTTAAACTATCCTGATTCTTCGTTCTTTTAGTTTTCTTTTATTAATAAATAATATAAAAATATAAGACTTTTCTGTTTTTAAGTCTTTCTTGTTACGGTGAACGTAACAGCATACAGACGCTCTATATAAACGTTATAGTTATACCACATCCATTCGTGATTACAATCATGGCCCAACGTGTTGGTTTGACAAAAAATATCAGCGAATTTGGTAAGACACTTTATACTTTACATTTATTTCACAATAATCATACACATATTTTACTATTTTTATGTTTATTCACTCTGTAATCCAAATCGTTTCTGTATTCTATTCTTCTTATACATGTGCCAACCCCAATCCCTGCTGACGAGTCCATGAAGGACGAAACGCCGCGTACAGGGATACTGAATTTTACACACATGACTTTCCCATCTCGCTTTATATATTTTACATGCCTCTATACAAGCTTTTTAGTACAGCGCGATCATACTCTTTGGGTCTGATCATTTTTTTACACAACAGGATGTCAGGATATATTTTACTCTTACAATTTCACACATACATCTCCAATTTTATGTTCCACAAGTCTATAACATACACTTATATTTGTTAGGTTCACATTTATACAAATACAAGTGGTTTTTTATCTTTTATCCTCAGGTTTTTCAAATACAACATTTTTTCACAGACATACATTGTGATTGTGCCAACAACACCAGGCCTTTACCCTATCATATTTCACACTACATTTTTTCATCTAACATTTAGGGACTATTGTGGCATAAAATTATTACTAGGACACCAATATGGTTCTCATTACCTACATCTAAACCTAAAAAAACTTGTGAATATTCAGTAGGGAAAGGAGCAAATCCAAGCTCGCCATATTGTGAAGTCAAACATGTCACAACAGAACCCATGCTGTGAACAAAGATCAAAGTTCATAAGCATCCCTGTAATAAACATGATCTCTGTCTCTGACACTGCATATTACCTACACATTTTTATCTACACTAAATTACATATATACACACATATGTTTCCACGTTTACCAAATATAACCCGTAACATACAATCACAGACAAACATCAGAAATAAGTCAAACAACGCAATGCATGACCAGGACAGGCACACCTAACACAAACATGAATACTGATAAATACACATTTAGCACTGTGCTCAAAATCATCAAATCACCGTGTAACACCAAGAGTAACAGACACCTTAGCAAAAACTAATTTAACAAGAAAATGCTCAACAACATGCAATACAAAGCTGTTATTAACCCATTAGATATAAACATTTCTAAATCAACATAATATAACACTATCCAAAGGCTTGTCTCGCATCCATTCCCCAAAACCAGCAATATACAAGCAAATTTATAACTCTTTCTTAAATACAGAATAAAACATGTACAACAGATACTTCTTCAGCACAAAACAAACACAATTACAGACACCCCTATAAGCTCCCAAAAAAAAATTCACAACCGCTAATCCGCTATACCTGATGACAGTAACCTGCAAGATTACATTTCAAACATTTATCATGATCTCAAAACTGAAATTGAGAAACACTAAGAACCTGCAAAACCAAATATATCTACAGATTAACTACAAGCTATCCATAACCTGAAACTAACTGATAATGATTTGATGGTTAAGCCAGCAGACAAGGGAGGGGCCATTGTATAATCTGGCCAAAAGATACATTTCTAGGTGAGGCATATAGACAATTAAATGACTCAAATCATTACCAAAAACGTACACATGATCTAACCCCCAAGACACTAGCAGGTCGACGCTTATTTCAAGAAAAAAAAAACTTGTTTCAAGAAATATTTTCTTAAAACAAGAATTTTTTTACTAGGGAGAATAGCGAGAAATATTTTCTAACTGAGAAAATATTTCTTAAAATATTTCTTAAAATAAGAAAACACATTTTCTTGTTTTAAGAAAAATATATCTCATTTCAAGAAAATAATGAAACATTTTTCTAGTACACTTTTTCTTAAAATAAGAAATTTTTTTAGAACTAGAAAATTTTTCTTAAATTAAGAAAACTTTTCTTAAATAATAAGAAATTAAATCTTAAATTAAGAAAATATAACTTGTTTTAAGAAAATATTTCTCAAAACAAGAAAATTTTTACTAGGGAGAATAGCGAGAAAAAATTTCTAATTAAGAAAATATTTCTACATGAATCATTTTCTTGTTTTAAGAAAATTTATCTTATTTTAAGATTAACTTTCTTAAAACTAGATACTTTTGACTAGATAAAAAAATAAGATAAATTTACACCTAACATTCTCAGTTTAAGAAAAAAACTCTCATTCTAAGAAAATAACTTGTATATTTACTAAAATTATAGTAGCTCTGATAGCACAGCAATGTGTTGTAGTGAATTGAGTTTCTCCCAGGGTTTTTTCCAGGATTTTCTCTTGGGTCCGTTTTTGCAGAGAAGATTGAGTTTAGCTGAACAGTTGGGGTGACTGCATCAGCCCCCCGCCTACCGGTGGGCTGACACCTGCACTCAATAAATGTAATTGAGACGGAATGTGTTAAAACAGGGACACTATAAACTGGTTAAAGATGGCTTGTCGGGCTTCCAACTGAAAACTAATTTCCACACGTCACAACATTTTATAACTCAAACAACTTCATTTTTACTGTACTGAAACTTTGGTGAGAAGATTGAGTTTCAAAATTCAATTCAAGATTGAGTTTTTGGGGCTGTTTAAAGGGCCCAAAAAATCCCTAAAAAACCCTGGTTTCTCCTGAAGTCATATTTTGTTTAACATTTTGTCCATTTCACAATCAATATTATCTATACCATTGTTCATTCACCAAATCCATTGATTTCCTCATGTACATCTAATTAATACTATTCCAAACAGAGCATGCAATTGCCATCAAAGATCCATCATCTTAGAATCTGTAAAAGGAAAATTTTACTTATTGAGAATGTAATCATTACTTTATATAAAATATGCCAGAACAATGACCTTGAGGCTTATCATTAACCTACAGTGTAAAAGGGACTACTAACTGTGGATGTAATAAACAGCCTTTATTTAATCAATAACAAAGCCAGTTCATATTTGTATGTACAAGGTGATGCAGGGTATGACAAATATACATATGTTAACCAGAGACAGGCTTTCTCCAGACCTGTACCCAGTAGACCAGGGGTTTTTTCAGGGATTTTTTAGGGCTGTTAAACGGGCCCAAAAATTCAATCTTGAATTGAGTTTTGAAACTCAATCTTCTCACCAAAGTTTCAGTACAGTAAAAATGAAGTTGTTTGAGTTATAAAATTTTGTGACGTGTGGAAATTAGTTTTCAGTTGGAAACCCGACAATTAAGAAAGAATGGCTGGAATTCATCTTGCAACACAAGAAAAACTATGCATTCACCATCTTTAACCAGTTTATACCAGTTTCCATCTCAGTTCTACATTTATTGAGCATAGGTGTCAGCCTCCCGCGGCAGGGGGGGGGGGTGCAGCCACCCCAGCTGTTCAGCTAAACTCAATCTTCTCTGCAAAAATGGACCCAAGAGAAAATCCTGAAAAAACCCCTGTAGACTACTATCTGGTGCCATTAGGTATCTGGGCACCACCCGCTACCATCTGGTATTAGGCAAACCACCATCTGGCGCAACTTCTTCTGGCAAAGACCTTGGACGCATGTTATTTTAAAAAGTAATAACCAACAATCACTATTAATCAGCAAGCTTAGTTTCACCAGACACTAAATTTTGTTGCATCATACTTTATTATTTTACTCTGTCTAACACCAGATAACTTTACTTGCCAAGGGGAAAGCAGTCATGCTCAATGGCTTAATCAGACTATCTGCCCATGTGTCAAATTAACCATTTAATTGCATTGTGCACTACTGTCTAATAATTATTAGTTAGCCAAGTAGATTATATCAATTAATTTATGATCTGTTATGCGACAGGGGAATTTATTCCCCTTTAAACAGTTTAAAGGGGAATATATCTTGTGGACTAAATATGATACTCAACTGACTGTCTTCTCTTAAATAACTTTAATTCATTATACAGTTAGCATCACTGTAGTGCAGTAACATTACATTAACCCTTTAAGTGCCAATGCACCAAGATGCACCCTACTTTATTATTTTACTTTGTCTATGCCAGACGATTTAACTCGTCAGGGACTCAGGGGAAGAGTGCTGCCACTAATTGGGTTAATACATCAGGACCCTGGACATGTACAATTGTTTGGTATTGAAATAGCAAGATTAATCTAGTAGGGCGTAAAAAAATACCTGTGGTTCCAGTTTCATATCGCAAAAAAATTTGGGTTGGTAGGTCGGAAATAATTTTTTTTAAAATATTTTTTCATGGATTTTTCAATAATTAGTGTGACAACAGTGTCATTTGGCAGCAGCCCGCAACCATCCGGAGAAAATAGGGTCGCACAGTCAATCACTTTTAAAAAAATAGGGTCGATCGGGAACCGAAACCACAGGTATTTT